TAATGAACTAGCAGATACTATGTATTGTATACAAATCAGCAATATACTTTTTCAAAAGATTATATTTTGTATAGCTTTTTCTGTAAAAAACGACGTGAAAATATGATTATACCTTTTGAGTAAATACAAAGCTTTCGTGCAATGAATATGAGAAACCGTCGATTTTGAAAAAAAGGCCCTGCTGCCTATCACCCCTAAGTTTCATAGCTTATCGCTTCCTTACTAAGCGTACATTTCATTCACCAATCGCATTTAGAAATCCTTACAAGGCTAGTAACAAGTGCAACTTAATGCTTGCTTTTCACCATTCTCAGCTTTTTTCCAGGCATGCAAAATTCCCTCAAAGCTTCAGAAGAAAAATTGAAATGGAGGATGGAGAAAACTAAAGACTTCCGGCAACATCGCCTTTCGCATAGAAAGATGTAAGTGCGTTTATCTTCACAATTTTCTTTAGAAAAAGGCTTTATTAGAGATTCTTTGGCTTCGAGATAAGTGTAGAAATGTCTGACTTGAGATCGATCGAATAATGTCAACATGTGTGATTTGAGATATCTCACAGATAAGGCGGTTGTATGAAAAGGCTATATATTCTAACAAATCCCAGAAGACCATCCACGCAATCATTAGGGCATAGTTCAGAAATTTGACGGTCATGCTTCCCTTGCATGTAAATTTTATCATGCATAGCAGGTCCCCCTACAGATAAGGAATTATGAATAAATAGCTTAGCCCATTATTAACCCCACTCAAGGTAATCTCATTTCTCTTGGTAGGTGCAGCTGTTAGGCGGTAAACACTATTTACACCCACGATCTGAGATGACAACACAACACGTCAACCCACTCGTCATCAGGTAAGTTCATCCTGTTGCCAACTGTTGTCACCACTTTAGACTCAAGTTCATGTTTATTTAACCTCTTCAAAAAAGTGGTTTGAAGGTTGAAAGCTTTTAGGTGAAAAGTGAGAGAGATCAAAGTTACGGTAGGTTCGACGCAATAAATATCCATTTCATATTAATCCCCAAACTTATGAGTGGTAAGAACGATAGGGGTAGATAACCAACCAAACTATATCGTGGAAAGAATTTTTTACAACAGAAAAATCAGTTGCTTGGTCTGAAGAGATGAGCACCCATAACAATAGCGTAACTTACTGTAACTCTATCTTAAGTTTTTCAGTTAGAAAATACTTTTTCATTTATGGATACCAAAGAGCAGAAGATGGTTAGAGTAACACCTATAATTCTATTGGATTTAGGTCAAGCTTTGTAGTTCATGATTTGAACTTATCAGCTGATGCAGCTGATGTAGATGTCTTGAAAAGCCAGCGAAAAAGACAAGTTATATGCTTAGCATATTTTATTCATATGATTTATATTGATAAGTTACTATAATATATATAACATATGATAATATGATATTTGAAAATATATTATCAAGATCATGGAGAGAGAGGTTGGATCATTTAAGAATAAATCATATATTTTTCACAAGAGCTAGTTGGATAATTTTGACAAATAAATGATTGAAATTAGAATTTCCGTGCATTTTCACTAAAAAATAGCTTTGCAAATGTTCTCAAAATTAAACTGACTAAGGTGGAAACCTCATCTTATCTTGAAGAAGCGCTAGAAAATTGTCTCATCGTCGAAAGCCAGTTTGAAACGAAACACGCGAAAAAAAGCTGTCCCTGTTTCCCCAAGACCAATGGTTAATTTCTCCTCACAAGTGAAAATACCTAGCTAGAAGGAAGTAACTAGCTCTTAAGCCATATTGTTTACGAGTGCCTGGTAATAACTAGAACTGGGGTGAACGGAGCCAGAATCCAACAATTTGCGCTAAAACTCGTTCCGCTCTCGTCGTATAGTTTCTTCGGGCATATTTTCTGAGATGAAAGAGCCTTCTTGCATGAACGATGCGATATGTTCCAATGATATGCAGAGAGCCGCTGTGGCTCGACCGCTCACTGATGTAATAGTGTCAGTTGGAGGATCATACGAGTGAGGAACAGGAGATGGATCCCCCGCTGGACCACCGGAAGCGAAACGTTCTCAGGTGTCAGAGAACAGCTTTGAGTACAAATAGTTCTGAGTCAGCATAATGTTGGGATCAAGGTCAGAATAAGATGAATTGAAGGAAGACATATAAGTTGTATTTAATTGTCAAAATATTCGAAAAAATTTGAAGCTGTTAAGGCTCGCCAACAAAAAAAAACGTCACAGTCAAC